ATTAATTATGTTAATGATTCTCAAATAAAAAGATTAATTGATTTATTTCTTGGCATTATTGAACAATATGAAGCATCAAATCTTGATCAATTATCAGCTAAATCTTATTTATTATCGGACAGTGGTATTGATGAATGTAATGTATCTATGCCAGATGGTTTTGGTAGATTTATTGAAAACCTTGTCCAACAACATAAATTACCTGTTGAACTTAATACTATAGTTACTCGTATAGATACTTCATCATCAGATTCAATTGTTCAAATATATACAAAAGATGAAAGATTATTTCTATGCAAATACGTTCTTATTACAATTCCGCTTGGATGTTTAAAAGCTCATACGATTGAATTTATACCTAGCTTACCTGAATGGAAACAAAATGCAATCGATATAATGGGTGTAGGTTTCTCAAATAAAATCTTTTTACAATTTCCATTTGTTTTTTGGGATCCAACATGGTCGTCAATATTTTGTACATCACCAAAATATCGTTTTATTCTATGTCGATCTAATGATTGTATGCTTCAAATTAAACTTGCTGCTCGAATAGCATTAGAATTTGAAGAAAGAAATGATAAAGAAATAATTGATGAAGTTATGATATTGCTAAGAACTATATTTTCAGACAGAGATGTACCTGAACCAACTCGATTTCTTATTACTAAATGGAATCAAGATGAATTTTCAAAAGGTGCTTATTCTAATTTTGCTGTTGATGCAGATAAACAAACTTTAATTGATCTTGCTCGAGAATGTAATGATCGAATATATTGGGCAGGTGAACATGCAAATTGTGACGGAACAATTGGTTGTGTGGATAGTGCTTTTGAAAGTGGAGAACATGCAGTCAAAAAAATAATACAAAAAATAAAGCAATAGATATTACATTTGATTTGATAAAAAATTTGAGTGTGGTATATTATTTATTAATTATAATTGTAATGCACTAGTTGAATAGTTAAAATGAAAAATAAATTATTTGATATTAGTTTTTATAAAGAAACCTTTTCTTCGAAATTTGAATTATTTATTGTCAAATGATAAAAAGAAGAAAAAAGAGACACTAACCAAAAAAAAAGGTTTCTTTGCAATAGGAAGTCTTATAAAAGCTAACATACAATACAAAAGTAACGGCACAAAATGTCAATTCTTATTTCTCTTCGATAGATTGATTCTAAAACAAATACTGTTTTTATTAGTTGATAGAAAACTTTTCCTCGTCTTATTTCATATACGAATGTGAGACAAATATAAATTCAACAATGTTTGAAAGAGGAGAAAAAACCCTATCTTTTGACAAAAAGTTTTTCTTTCGACACCTTTCTATCTATGAGAAACGAAAATTCCTACGTTGTGCCATTACTTTTGCACCATATTTTAATATCGAATTTTTTTTTGTTATCACTTAAATAGTTAGTACTAAAATTACCTGCGATTAATTGTAAAATGAGCACTTAATTAATTATAAATAGTAGTAAAAATTTTCAAAATTTTTCAGCAGAAAAATAAATTTAAATAAATCAAAGTATCACAGAATAAATAAAAAGAAATTTACAAAATAATGGAAAAACGAAAGAAAAAGAAAATTGAACTATTGTATTAGTAAAGCATATTTAGCTTTTGCTAGTCGATCTCTTTTTCTTTTCTCACCAATCGGCACTGTCTTTGCTGCTGATAGTGATTTAAAGTATTTCAAATGAATAATCATGTGTACAACGTGTTTGCATATATACTTCTTATAGACAATAATTAATTGACCGTTGTCCATTTTTTATTGTCTTATGTTTATTTAAATCCTTTTCTGTAATAGATTGTAAGTTACGAGCCGATATATAGTAGTTTTCGACAAGTCATTTGAAAGGTGAATTATGTCTTTGATAAAAAAAGGCGTTCTCGCAATGCTCCATCATCTTTGATTGTTTTATTGATTGTCTCTAAGGCATTGTTTGTATTTAGTTCATACAGTTGTATGCCTTCATATCAACCATCATTTGATTTGAACCATTCATTATCAAATATATCTCTTTTTAACCTTTTCAGTCCTGAATTTTTTCTATTGAACCAAAATTTGATGAAACTTGGTATAAAGTAATTAGGTGAAATTAGGAAACATGTGGTTAAATTACAATTAAAGAAAATACGTAATCACATGAAGATTAAAACATTTTTCTCATTGCTGTATCTTAATAAAAAATTGCTGTTATAATTACTGAAACATTGATTTGTTTCATTACTAATATACGTAGTTTTTATGATACAACAAAAAATACTCTTTTACACGAAGACTAACACAGAGAAAATTATAATACTATTGTCGATAAGTTGAAATAAGTTCTGCTATATGAACTAAAAGTTGTGATTTTTCAGAACTTTCTATGTTACTTATGTTTCTTTCAATACTTTCCTTCTTCTGATTACTTATCGCCAAAGATCTTCTTATCCTTTTTCTACTACAATAATTATCTACGAGTGCAATACTAATAAACGACAATATTCTACATATTCTCGAGTATCAAATTGGTTAGGGCGATGGCCTCGATATGAATAACCTTAGCTGACTCGATATTCGGACATACACATAGACATTGCGTATTATATGTACAGAAGATAACTCTATTGCTGAGGATTGAAGTAGATTAAACAAATGAATTTCGTCTTTTGCAAAGTACTGAACTTGCATAGTGTCTCAGATATATCTCATGGATATAGATTTTGAAGAAAAGGAAAATAAACGAAAAATTTTGAAAATTCAAATTATGTGCTCAAAACCTATTTTTGGACTCAGGGGACTTGGCATGGTGCACTTTTCAATGTCCTTTATATATCCAATCATCCATGCAATCTTGTACAGACCTCTGCTGGCTTCTAACATCTATTGAAAATATCACTCTTAGATTCCTAAAAACTCGAGGATTAGAAAATTCTCAAGGTGGTACATATGTGCACTATCGGGTCTTAAAGGGTTAAGCCAACATTTTGATTCTTTTTTTTCATGCAGATCAAAAGAAGTAAGTCAGAAGAACTAAAAACATATGTGGAGCAGCTGAAGCAGAAGGAAAATAAAAATAAAAATGATCCACTTTATGACTATATCAATTTTTATACTGATCCTTCAATATAGTCGACTGTTAATAAATGGTAATTAGTGACTTTTAAATATATTTGTAAACCTAATTAATTAATAACTGACCGTTTAGGTAATTTACTGATCATTTCATTTATTTCACTGATTATAAATCATATTCTTGCTCTTTTCGCTTCAAATGCAAATGTTCACTTCCAATATACAAATACCGTTCATTGTAGCTCGATACATTTGGTTTGTAGACTGACGAAATAGAGATATAGAAAGAGACTGTGGATATCTGTGTGATTGAAGAGGAAACTAACACTCTAGTTAATTGAACTTACTGCAACAATAAAATACGCCGACTATCGTTAATAATCTAACAGATAAGAAATTTGCTTAGAATACGATGAAAAATCTTGAAAAAAAATCAATTTTAATATATTACCAAGAAAATACTCACATTAATGAAAATTCATTTATTTATAAGCTAACAATGGAACATTCTTATGTAATAAAGAACTTTTGAGTTCAAATTTTCTTTGAAACTAGGAGATGTATACACTAGCAAAAATAAAATTGGATGTGGATGCGAAACCGTAATTTGATAAATATATCGAAATTTTATTGTAAATTTTCTACGTTATCTGAATTTCTTTACAAACTTAAACTTTCAAATTTTTCTCTGAAGTATTGCCTACATCAAAGCTTCAATCAGATAGTCTAACCAGCAAATTTAGAAAATCATTAGATGAATTACTCATCACAAGGACTTTAATAGATAGGAATAAAAACGCACTATAATAAGTATGGTGTAATGTACGAATATTTTTAAAACTTTATATCCACAAGATAATTGATTGAAAAATTCTGAAATTTTGAAAGTAAGGCAATCTGATTAAGGCTTTCATATAAGAGAAATTTCAAATTAAAATTAGCAAATTTTAAAGAGAAAGTGAGTTGCTCTGCAGTAGAAAAAAATATAATGAAACGTCGATATGTTAGTCACAGCGCTGCTTGCACAAACAATCTATTAAGCTTTTTTAAATGTAGACATATCTTGTGAATAAAACTTGATCGCAAAACCCTTTTGATGACCTGTTAAAGTTTCTTCGTTGAATCTAAATGTTCTTACTGTTTTTGAGGTGACCAAAGATAATACATGGATATAATTAGACAAAGAAAGTTATTGTTTATGTTCATAGATGAATCATATTAGCAGTTTTAATACATATTCATTTTACTAAATATTAATTTTAAGAAAATGTCATATATTTATATTCAAATATGCATTACCATAATGATGAAAAACTTTGACCAATATATAAGACGTTCTTCATCATTAAAATTCATGACTTATACTTTCTTTTTCTTTAACTAATTTTAGCAGTAATAAATATCTCTCCCACTTAGACTTTTCATTATTCAAATATTTTTGACATTTATGTTTGGCGTCTTTGATCTATTTGTACAAATAAAGTTGCGACCTGTCTAATTTTCATATTTAAAAAAAAATCGAACGAATGAAAATATACACTAAGTTAGAAAAAATAGTAGAGTATTTCTTTTTCTCTTGCAACTTCAAGTATAGTTATTATAATAAATAAACTACAAAAAAAGCATACACAATACTTTATTCAGAATATATTCTTCCGAAAAGAATCAAGAACAAGAGGAATAAATACATTATTGAATGAATAGAATAAAGATCGAAAGAAATTCTTGAAAAGAACTATTCATACATTCATGCTAATTTTATGCAATATTTTAATATTCGCTCTTCAACAGTGTACAAACAATGAGCTACAAACAAAAGAAGAGAATATAATCTATTTATTGGAAAGAAAAACAAATTTCGTTCTATGCATTGCGTTCGAATATTAATTTCATATGCTCTCAATAGTTTTTCTTTCAGTTTATTTCAATCTAAATGACTCGTATTTTGCTATTTATTGAATTTTTTACTTTAATTTTTACTGTTATTAATGGGACACACTTTCATGGCGGTACTATTACTTGGCATCCCCTAAATTCATCAGATACAGGATCACCTGTCGCCATTGTTATTACCCAAACATATTTGTGGACATGGTCAGTTGCTCTATGTACGAGTAGTAATATTGCTAGTAGTGCTAGCATAAGTTTCACTCATTATTATCCAAGTACCTCTAGTCATCTAGATTGTGCTCTTAATTGTGCAACAGCTACTGGATATGTTGCTCCACCAATCTTGCCTGATTGTACTGATGCTTCTTCAGCACAAGATACTACTGTTGGTCAACGTTCGGATATTGTCTATGTTCCAAGAAATGCTGATTTTACTGTTGCATTTGCTAGTTCAGCTTGGCGTTCATTAGTTACTAATTCTGCAGCTGATTGGTCCATTGCATCACGCATTGAATTGACACCCAGATCTGATAATGGTCTGTATAATAATGCACCTATAGCAACAGTCATGTCTCCTATATATATTCCTCAACATCAACCAACAGCTATTCATATACCTATAGGTGATGCAGATGGAGATATAATGCGGTGTCGATGGTCAAGTGGTACAACTGAATGTGGACATGTTTGTCCACCAGGATCTTTACCAAGTGGTACATTAATCTTTTCGAATTGTACAATTATTATTACTGGTACTAATATAGGAGATTGGTTTGCTGTTACAGTCATGGTTTGTAAAGATATCTGAAATTTTCTATTAATCTTTCTTTTATTGATAGGTTGAAGATTTTATTAGTTCATCAAGTACAACACCACTTAGTTCAGTACCTGTTCAATTTCTTGTTCATGTTGTTGCACCATCATCATGTTCCACACCACCAGAAGTTTATGAACTTTCTAATAAGTCTTGTATACCAATTACTGTCGGTCACACGTTTACATCACATTTAATTGCGATTAACAATTGTGGTTCTTCTGTTACTATTATTGATATTTCAACATTGTCCTTTGCTGGAATGGTTCAAAGTAGTATTATTCAACAAGATTCAATGACTTATTATAAAACTCTTTCATGGATACCAACGACAAGTCAACTTGGATATCAAGTTATGTGTGCCATGGCTCTTGATAGGTAAATAACTCAAAATAAATGAATGCAAAACTTAAAAGATGTTGTATAACTTTGATTAGTCAAAATTCACAATCTGCACAATATTGTTTTAAGTTTTATGTATCACAAAGTGGTGTTAGTAATTGTCCTGGTGATCCTATTGCTACATCAACAACTACGTAAGTCTGGTAATCTTATTTTATTGTATAATATTCATTTTTTTTTCTAAAGAACAACCACAACTACAACAACGACGAGCTCATCCACGTTAGTATTTACATCTATCATTATATTTTATTTTTGTTTCTGTTTTCGGATTTTGTAGAACAACATCAAGTACAACAAGGTAAAATGAGATTTCGATTTTCCATCAGCTTAGAAGAAAATGCTTATTATTGCAGTACAACATCAACATCAACTTCTACAACATCAAGGTTAGTGTTCAAATATTAAAAGAAACAAAATTTGAATCGTTCTTCTTACTATAGTTCGACCAGTAGTACAACTTCAACAGCGTGAGTCGTTGAATATTTTATTCTAATTTAGAAGAAAAACAATCAATTCTATAGGACAACAACGTCAACTACAACATATACCACATCCACGTACGTCTTGCTACTTGAAATAAAAA